CAACTATATGCTTGCTATTCTATTCTATTTTATGTTTCAGTGCATTTTTTGGTGCATTCCGGTGCGTTTTTCATGGGCTCTGGTTCATTGCCCCCCCTTTTATTACATTTTTCAGTTTTACTTCAGTGTGACTGGTGCGCTCCGGTGCGTTTGACACGTTTCAGTGCGTTTTTTTGTGCATTTCGCTGCGGTTTTTGGTGCGCTCTGGTGCATTTTTGATGTACTCTGGTTAATTTTTTCCCCACTCTTTTTCTTCAATTTTCTTCAGTGTGTTTCTGGTGCGCTCCGGTGCTTTTTTGACATGTTCCAGTGCATTTTTTTGGTGCATTATAGTGCGTTTTTTGAAGTGCTCTGGTTCATTCCCTCCCCTACCTCCCTTCTTTTTCTTAAATATTTCAACTTTTCTTCAGTGTGTTTCTGGTGCGCACCGGTGCGTTTTTGACATGTTCCAGTGCGTTGCTGGTGCGTTCTGGATGTGCTCTGGTTAATTCCCCCCCCCCCCTTCTTTTTCTTAAATTTTTCAGTGTGTTGCTGGTGCACTCCGGTGCGTTTTTGACACATCTAGTGCGTTTTTGGTGCGTTACGGTGCATTTTTATGCATATTACCGCGTTTCAGTGCGATTCTGTGCAGAAACATGCAGCCTACTTTTTTTTCTGCATCCGGAATGCGCTGGAACTGCGAGCACCGATGAGACCTAGGACATTGACAACCATATCACCGACTTTCTGTGCGTTTTGGATGCAGAAAAAAAAGCAACTGAACCGCATGCAGTGTGAACCGGCCCTAAGGGTCCCTCTGCGTTGGAAAAGGTGAGAAAAGCTGCCCTGGGTGCAGAAAACCTCCTCCATGTAAGAAGTCGTTCGGTTCAGTTTAATCCCCTGAGTCCTGCAGGAGAACAGTGAAAAAAAAAAAAAAGTCGACTATACAAACGCAGCGGCCGGGTGTTACAATCTTCTGTCGCTGAGCAAGGTGATTATTATGAAAAAAGTGCGATCAAAGCTCCAAGCCGGCCGACGTGCCGGGACTCACCGAACTCTAATTGTTCATCATAGAACGACTTCATCCCGCGACTCCGCGCCGCACATCGCCCGTTAGCTGCTCGGCCCGACTTGCCTCTCCCATCCAATGACTGCGGGAAGAAAAAAAAAGACCTGCGAGTTGTAAAACGTATCGAGTCCTGAAGGGGGCGCACCGCCTGCACTGCCAACTCCAGAAGGGTTTTTTATACGGTTCAGGCCAACGCCCTGCGTTGGCTGCAATAAAATGTATATATATTGCGCTTTATTGCTGCGAAAGGTTTGCTGCACAACATGCGATGAACGTGACCTCGTGTGCCTAGGACTGGAGGAAAACCAAACACTGAAATACCGCCAGCGCCTTCAAAACATGCAATGCGGAAAAAATTAAAAACACACCAGTGCGTGACGAAGACGATCTTGTATGTTGTGTGTTGGTGCAAACGATGGGGTGCGAGCAATCCACAAATGTGTCCGTCAAAGGGGTCACGTGGACTCAACTTTTCTCCTGGTCTCTGCAGGTGCCGCCTGGAAAGGTTGCATGTTCTATTCGGTTGCCACCTAGAATGGGTCCACGTGGTCTTTCAGTTGCCATCTAGCATGGGTCCACGTGGTCTTTCAGTTGCCATCTAGCATGGGTCCACGTGGTCTTTCAGCTGCCACCTAGAATGGGTCCACGTGGTCTTTCAGCTGCCACCTAGAATGGGTCCAAGTGGTCTTTCAGCTGCCACCTAGAATGGGTCCAAGTGGTCTTTCAGCTGCCACCTAGAATGGGTCCAAGTGGTCTTTCAGCTGCCACCTAGAATGGGTCCAAGTGGTCTTTCAGCTGCCACCTAGAATGGGTCCAAGTGGTCTTTCAGCTGCCACCTAGCATGGGTCCACGTGGTCTTAACAGCTGCCACCTAGAATGGGTCAACATGGTCTTTCAGCTGCCACCTAGAAGGGGTCCACGTGGTCTTATCAGCTATCAGCTGCCACCTAGAATGGGTTCATGTGTTGGTGGACCCCATGATCCCTCCAATGTCCATGTGTTGGTGGACGTGATGATCCCTCCAATGGCCATGTGTTGGGGGACCCCATGATCCCTCCAATGTCCATGTGTTGGTGGACCCGATGATCCCTCCAATGTCCATGTGTTGGTGGACCCCATGATCCATCCAATGTCCATGTGTTGGTGGACCCCATGATCCATCCAATGTCCATGTGTTGGTGGACCCCATGATCCATCCAATGTCCATGTGTTGGTGGACCCCATGATCCATCCAATGTCCATGTGTTGGTGGACCCCATGATCCATCCAATGTCCATGTGTTGGTGGACCCCATGATCCATCCAATGTCCATGTGTTGGTGGACCCCATGATCCCTCCAATGTCCATGTGTTGGTGGACCCCATGATCCCTCCAATGTCCATGTGTTGGTGGACCCCATGATCCCTCCAATGTCCATGTGTTGGTGGACCCCATGATCCCTCCAATGTCCATGTGTTGGTGGACCCCATGATCCATCCAATGTCCATGTGTTGGTGGACCCCATGATCCATCCAATGTCCATGTGTTGGTGGACCCCATGATCCATCCAATGTCCATGTGTTGGTGGACCTGATGATCCCTCCAATGTCCATGTGTTGGTGGACCTGATGATCCATCCATTGGCTCAGAGGAAGTCGGAATGACGAAACGCGTCAGTGCGTGACCATCTGTGACGTCAGCACGTACTCCAGGACCACGTGGTACGATCACGTGACCACTGTTGCAGGAATCCGTATGAGATAGTGTGTGGTGAGGTTTACTTTTTGACTCAATGTGAGTTCCATTTTAAGGGGGTTTCAGGTTAATAAATGTGTTTACAGAATTACACTTTGTGGTTGTTTTCGCTTTGCCCACATATGGTGTTGGATGATTATCAGTAAATCTGGATGAGGAGGAGGTCGGAGCGATCAATACTTCATTGGTTGGAGGTTGTTTTGTGTTACTAAGGTTCAATATTCCATTGTTGTTTTTACAACCATTCAGCATCAAGGAGGTTGATTTTCCACTGCTGGTTACTCAGCAGCATCTGGTGAGTGTTGTATTCGATGGGTGTTAATCACTGCAGGATCACATGGATGGTGGATTGAGCAATCTTAAAGGAATACCACATCACTGAAATTATCTGAATTTTTTCACAATTTTTCACTTTGGTGGAAGTTTCTGTATTATTTTTCTTTCATATGTGTTGTTTTTTCTGTGATATCGGTTTATCGATGACTCTTTGCTTGAGGGCGATCTACTATAACAGAGCGTGTTTATGAGAACGATTCTAATCACTCGTTTATTTATTTGTGGTCCATCCAATGGCCATGTGTTGGTGGACCCGACGATCCATCCAATGGCCATGTGTTGGTGGACCCGACGATCCATCCAATGGCCATGTGTTGGTGGACCCAACGATCCATCCAATGGCCATGTGTTGGTGGACCAGACGATCCATCCAATGGCCATGTGTTGGTGGACCCGACGATCCATCCAATGGCCATGTGTTGGTGGACCAGACGATCCATCCAATGGCCATGTGTTGGTGGACCCGACGATCCATCCAATGGCCATGTGTTGGTGGACCCAACGATCCATCCAATGGCCATGTGTTGGTGGACCAGACGATCCATCCAATGGCCATGTGTTGGTGGACCCGACGATCCATCCAATGGCCATGTGTTGGCGGACCCGACGATCCATCCAATGGCCATGTGTTGGCGGACCCGACGATCCATCCAATGGCCATGTGTTGGGGGACCCGACGATCCATCCAATGGCTATGTGTTGGCGGACCCGACGATCCATCCAATGGCCATGTGTTGGTGGACCCGACGATCCATCCAATGGCCATGTGTTAGTGGACCCGACGATCCATCCAATGGCCATGTGTTGGTGGACCTAACGATCCATCCAATGGCCATGTGTTGGTGGACCCGACGATCCATCCAATGGCCATGTATTGGTGGACCGGATGATCCATCCAATGGTCATGTATTGGGAGCCCCGACGATCCATCCAATGGCCATGTGTTGGCAGACCCGACGATCCATCCAATGGCCATGTATTAGTGGACCGGATGATCCATCCAATGGTCATGTATTGGGGGCCCCGACGATCCATCCAATGGCCATGTGTTGGCAGACCCGATGATCCCTCCAATGTCCATGTGCTGGTGGACTTGATGATCCATCCAATGGCCATGTGTTGGCGGACCCGATGGATTGAAGAAAGGATAGCCTGTTGAGGAGTCTCCCTTCTCCCGCTGCACTCGCCACCCCCCACCTGCCTGCACAAGCCTATAATCTGCTCAGCTATCAAACAGAACTAGAAAATCTGCAGATCTCGTGTTCTGGGAGAGACCACCCGACCGCTGACTCCCCGCACAGAACTGCGAGGAACAACACGGAGACCAGTCATTGCCGGCATGCATGTGACACGGGAATAAAACACGCTGTGCTCCCCTGGGCTCTGTGACACGGGAATAAAACACGCTGTGCTCCCGTGGGCTCTGTCCAGACAACTCCAAACCGCACCGCATGTTTTCTTGTCATGCCGAGACGGACAGAACCCAGAGACCCAGCTGAACCCTATACATTCCATGGACTGGGACTTGTAGTTCTTCTGGGTCTGGAGGCAGACATGCTGACCTTCAGTCTACTCATAGTTTGCCTTCCCTGGCTCCTCCCTTTCCCCCTCATCAACATGCTAATGAAATGATTAAATAAAAGGCAGAGTGACACTGGGTCTCTGTGCTTCTCTATACAACGCAGGCAGATCATGGCTGGTAGGAGGGGTCGGCAGGGGGCTGTACATAACTCTATGAAAACATCACAGCATCCTGCCTTAGTACTCCTCCCAAGAGCCCTCAGTCCTGATGCAAGCAGTGGGCTCGCTCTTGGGAGGAGTTATGCAAATATAACCGGGTCTCTGTGCTTCTCTATGTAATAGGAACAGATTACAACTGGTGGGAGGGGCCAGCAAGGTGCTGTACCTAGCTCTCTGGAAACAGTGCTTCATCCTGCTGCAGAAAGAGCTCTTAGCCCTAATGCAAGCAATGGGCTGGCTCTTTGGAGGAGTTATGCAAATATTACCGGGTCTCTGTGCTTCTCTATGCAATAAAGACAGATTACAGCTGGAGGGAACTGAGGCGGAGCTCTATCTGACTTGCTGCAGCATCTAATATACACCTGTGCAAGACTGGAGGGGAGGAGCCAGTATACCTGTGCTAGACTGAAGGGGAGGAGCCGGTACACCTGTGCAGGACTGGAGGGGAGGAGCCGGTACACCTGTGCAGGACTGGAGGGGAGGAGCCGGTACACCTGTGCAGGACTGGAGGGGAGGAGCCGGTACACCTGTGCAGGACTGGAGGGGAGGAGCCGGTACACCTGTGCAGGACTGGAGGGGAGGAGCCGGCACACCTGTGCAGGACTGGAGGGGAGGAGCCGGTACACCTGTGCAGGACTGGAGGGGAGGAGCCGGTACACCTGTGCAGGACTGGAGGGGAGGAGCCGGCACACCTGTGCAGGACCGAAGGGGAGGAGCCGGCACACCTGTGCAGGACCGAAGGGGAGGAGCCGGCACACCTGTGCAGGACCGAAGGGGAGGAGCCGGCACACCTGTGCAGGACCGAAGGGGAGGAGCCGGCACACCTGTGCAGGACCGAAGGGGAGGAGCCGGCACACCTGTGCAGGACCGAAGGGGAGGAGCCGGCACACCTGTGCAGGACCGAAGGGGAGGAGCCGGCACACCTGTGCAGGGACCGAAGGGGAGGAGCCGGCACACCTGTGCAGGGCCGAAGGGGAGGAGCCGGCACACCTGTGCAGGGCCGAAGGGGAGGAGCCGGCACACCTGTGCAGGGCCGAAGGGGAGGAGCCGGCACACCTGTGCAGGGCCGAAGGGGAGGAGCCGGCACACCTGTGCAGGGCCGAAGGGGAGGAGCCGGCACACCTGTGCAGGGCCGAAGGGGAGGAGCCGGCACACCTGTGCAGGGCCGAAGGGGAGGAGCCGGCACACCTGTGCAGGGCCGAAGGGGAGGAGCCGGTACACCTGTGCAGGACCGAAGGGGAGGAGCCGGTACACCTGTGCAGGACCGAAGGGGAGGAGCCGGTACACCTGTGCAGGACCGAAGGGGAGGAGCCGGTACACCTGTGCAGGACCGAAGGGGAGGAGCCGGTACACCTGTGCAGGACCGAAGGGGAGGAGCCGGTACACCTGTGCAGGACCGAAGGGAAGGAGCCGGTACACCTGTGCAAGACTGGAGTTGTAAAGCGCGGTGCAGGGAGTGGATCCAGAGACACACACAGCGTACGGTTGGACAATATCTGGGTGAGGATGGATATAGGAATAGTGACAGATCATCGGAGCCGCCATCTATAGATGAACGATGGAAGCAATTGGATTATCGAATGATCAGGTGGAAAGGTGTCACCGGACTCACAGATGACACTTCCAGCACTGGCCGGGATTGCCGGTCCTCCACTCCAGGCCCCCCCTCCCCCCCCCATACACATTGCACTCCACATGTCTCCTGCCGAAGGCCCAATTCTCATGATTAGGTGGCTGGAAGAGTCCATGTGATGGGGGAGGAGCCTCTTCTCCTGCCGGTGACACCAGAGACAGATGAAGGATTTGTGATAATCGGATGAGTGTCAGTGTCTATCTGGAGTCAGAGAATGGACAGCCGGGACACGGAGCGCCATGAGAGGATCCCCCCCCCCCCCGAGAGCCGGGACACTGCCCCCTATAGATGGACAGACACGAGTGCAGGGGCTCCGGTACCCGCGCTGCATCCCCTATGCTATACAGTGTCTGGGGCCAACAACATCCACTAAATACACAAATCGCACTGAAAGAAATACGGCTCACTTCAGTAAAATACAGCAAAGAACCAGAGGTCCCCCTTACATCAGAGTTCTCATCAGAGTCCCCCCTTACATCAGAGTTCTCATCAGAGTCCCCCCTTACATCAGAGTTCTCATCAGAGTCCCCCCTTACATCACAGTCCTCCTAACATCAGAGTTCCCATCAGAACGCCCTTACATCAAACTCCCATTAAAATCCACCTTACATTGGAGTCCCATTTTCATAAGAGTACCCACCAGATTTCCCCTTTACATTGGACTCCCCATCAGAGTCCATTTTACATCAAGTTCTCCACCAGAGCCCCCTCTTATCACCTCTCATCAGAGTCCCCCTTACATCAGTCACCCTTATGTAAAAGTCCCCACCAGAGCCCCCTTATTATTATTTTATATTATTTATTAACATTTATTATTATTTTTGTGTTAATATATTATTATTATTTTATATTATTTATTAATATTTATATTTATTATTATTTTGCGTTAATATATTATATTTATATATTATTTATTATTTATTTATATTATATTTATTATTATTTTGTGTTAATATATTATTATTATTTTATATTATTTATTAATATTTATATTTATTATTATTTTGTGTTAATATATTATTATTATTATTTATATTATTTATTAATATTTATATTTATTATTATCTTGTGTTAATATATTATTATATTTTTTTATTATTAGTAGTATAATAATATTATTATTATGTGTTAATAATATATTAATAAATAATATAAAATAATAACATAAATTATCTTTTTATTATTTAGTAGTAGTATTATAATATTATTATTATTTTGTTGTTGTTATTTATAATTATAATAATTTATCATTATTATTATTTTATATTACTTATTATTTATTTAGAAATCGCTATTTTAGGCTTTAAAAAAAAAATCTCCATTTTCTTTTTTATGTCCACATTTTAGGATTAATGGCGTGAGAAAACTCCGCTCATTTTGTATAAGGTCACGGATCACGGATGAGCGCGGACACGTGGGCACTTCACATGTATTTTTTTGCTGTCACAAGACTTCAGGGGGCTTAGCGGCATTAGATAATTAACTAATAGGGCCAGATTTTGGATTTTCCCCATGACCGCCACTGCCCCCTGCTGTACGCTCCCAGTGCTGCAGCTCATTAGCACCTTCATAGACAGATGTCAGAGGAAGCAGCCTGTACATGGCGCTGAATTTCCCACCGTGCTGTGACAACGCAGACAAGGGTGACTTTCCCCAGAGGGGGACAAAGCGAGCAATAAAAACCCGACAGAGGTTCTAACGCTTTCCCCGCTCTATCATAAATGAGAAAAACGTTTTTATCGGGCTCCCAGCACAGAATCTCAGCTCCCCGTGGATACATATATCTGCGTTACGGCCCACCCGTGCAGCCCCTGTAGATGTGGGTTCACTTCACAGCTACACCCCTCTATGTAACGGCAATGAAGGGGGGGGACAATGAATGGGGGGGACATTTTTAAGGGGAGCAAAGAAAGGGGGGACAATGAAAGGGGGGCAATGAAGGGAGGGGGACAATAAAGGGGGGCAAAGAAAGGGGGGACAATGAAGGGGGGCAATGAAGGGAGGGGGACAATGAAGGAGAAGGGAAATGGAGGGGGACAATGAAGGGAGGGGGACAATGAAGGGAGGGGGACAATAAAGGGAGGGGGACAATAAAGGGAGGGGGACAATAAAGGGAGGGGGACAATAAAGGGAGGGGGGGACAATGAAGGGGGGGACAATGAAGGGGGGGACAATGAAGGGGGGGACAATGAAGGGAGGGGGACAAATGGGGGGGGGGGGGGACAATGAAAGGGGGGGGGGGACAATGGCGCATACGCTGTAGAAGAATTCAGGTGCCCAGCTCCGTCCCGGGATTTGGTGCACACAAGCTGATGCTTTCTATTAGGATTCAGTGTCTGCTCTGTTTGGCCGGCTCTGTAATCTGGGAGGTTCTGTCAGGTCAGCGCTGTGGACAGACTTTCTAAAAAGAAAAAGAAACACTCCTCCCCCGCTAATCCCCCGCATTGTCTGTGCCCACCGCCGCTGCCGCTCAGGTCAGCAAGGGGAAAGCAAAACTTCTATTTGGGTTTTTCCAGCAATGTCTCGCCATCTGTGCGTAACGAGCGCGGAAAACTGCGGTGGAGGGCGGCGAACATTATCACTTCGAAGAATTTGCGGCGACAATGCAAAGTACAGCAGGCCAAGGGACCAATCAGATATCAGCTCTCTAGACAGGTCAATGAAGGCGACATTCTGATTGGTTCTAATGGATTCCCTTTGCATGCCTTACAGCTGCTGTTAGATCACATGATCAGGGAAAATAATTGTGTCTTCTGCCTAGGCTATCGGTCACATGACAGCTCAGGAACAACGATATCTGTACACAGGGGCGGACTGACAACTCATGGGGCCCCTGGGCAATAGGGGATCATGGGGCCCCTGTGTCCTTGCCCAAACTCAAAAAAGCCTATGAAAAAGGTACCAGGGGCATCTCATGGGGCCCCCTACTGACCCCGGGCCCTCGGGCAGTGCCCGAGTTTCCAAATCGTCAGTCCGCCCCTGGTCCGGACACCATGGTGGCGGCACTGTACACACGCAGGGGCTGCTTCCTGCACAGCAGTGCTGTACAATGGTCCTGCCCAGGACCACTGATAGGGGGCGATAGAGCTGAGCCTCCCATACGGGGCCAATCCGTACATTATTATCATTAGCAGCTTCATATTTATAAATTATTATTGTGATGAAAATGATTATTTTATAATATAATAATGATAATAATTTAAATAATAATAATATCATCATTGTTAGTATACTATAGATTATTAGTAGTATTACCATATTATAAATCATTTTTATCATCATCAACAATATAAATTATTATCATATTATAACTTGAGGTGATTGTAGCCGTATGAGTGCATTTGTGACAGAAACAATTGAGTCCTGTCCGTGATACTTTTTTTATTTGCACTAACATACAATTTTGAGACAAGCTTTCGGGGAGTGTCCCCTTCTTCAAGGTCTTCAAGGTACAGTACTGCTTGGACCTTGAAGAAGGGGACACTTCCCGAAAGCTTGTCCTCAAAATTGTATGTTAGTGCAAATAAAAAAAGTATCACGGACAGGACTCAGTTGTTTCTGTCATATTATAAATCATTTTTATCATCATCAATAATATAAATTATTATTATCATCATCATTATACATTACTATTATCATCTTATTATAAATTATTATATTATAGATACATTTTATCATCAATAATATAAATTATTATCATTATACATTATTATAATTATTATCTTATAAATTATTATTATCATCATTATACATTATTATCATCTTATTATAAATTATTATGATTTTATATTATTTTTTTAATTTTTAGCATCAATAATAAATTATTATCATTATTTTACTATTTTTATATTTATCTTATTTTTTTTTTTATGATATTATAAATAATTTTTTTAGCATCAATAATATCAATATTTCATTCATTATTATTATTATTTTATTTATTATTAAATTATTATTTTTTTTATTTTTTTTAAATATTTTTTTTTTTTTTTTTTTTTTTTTTATTATTTTTATATTTTTTTTTATTATTATAATAATTTATAAATTATTATGATATTATTTTAATTTTTTGCATTTTTTTAATATAAATTTTTTTTTTTTTATTATTATTATTATCATTTTTTATTTTTTATTATGATTGTTATATTTTTAATTTTTAGCATCAATAATTTTTTTTTATTTTTATACATTATATTTTTTATTTTTATTTTAAATTATTTATATTATAAATAA